AAAAGAAAGGAATACATATGTGTGTTTGTGTGTGTGAGCATATATATTTCCACAATACCATAAATTCTCAATGTAATCAAATATCTAGTCAAATGTTCTTCATATTGGGCCGGCCTGTGCTCACTTGGGAGAGTGCGGTGCTGATAACACCAAGGCCACGGGTTCGGATCCCTATATACGGAATGGCGGGTTTGCTCACTTGGGAGAGCGTGGCGCTGTCAACACCAAGTGAAGGGTTAAGATCCCCATACCGGTCATCTTTAAAAAAAAAAAAAAATTCTTCATATTATTTCTTAAATGATATTAGTACAGGTTTTTTAAAAAAAAAAAAAAATCAGGATTCAAATAAGGTTCATACTTGGCACATTAGTAAATGTGTTTCTTTAGTTTTTTTTTTTTTTTTTTCATTTTTGTCTTTTTTCGTGACCGGCAACGGATCGCAACCCTCAGTGTCGCGCCCGTACCGGACCGGGACCGGCAACGGGATCGCAACCCTTGGTGTTGCGCCCGCACCTCGCTCAGCCAGTGAGCAGCCGGTCTGTATGTGGGATCTGAACCCTCAGCGGGAGCAGCGCCGTGCTCCCAAGCGGCGCACTGTAGCAATGCGCCACCGGGCCGGCCCGTGTTTCTTTAGTTATAATAAAAGATTTAAAATATAATTCACATACTATATGATTCACCTATTTGAAGCATACACTTCAATGATTTTTAGTATATTCACAGAGTTCACCATATCAATTCCCATTTCTTCTCAACCATAACCCCCAACCTCAACCCTAGTTCACCACCAGTCATGCCCTCTGTGTCTATGGGTATGCTAATTCTGGACATTTCACATAAATGGTATCATATGGTAGTGGTTCTTTGTAACTGGCTTCTTAATGTTTTCAAGTTTTATCCATGTTTTAACATGTATCAGAACTTCATTCTTTTTTATTGCTGAATAATCATATAGATGTACCACATTTTGTTGATTCCATTCATCAGTTGAGGGACATTTGGCTATCATGGATAATTCTGTTATGAACATGCATATACAAGTTTTTGTATGGACCTATATTTTCAATTCTCTTGGTTTTATACCTCGTAGTGGAATGGCTGAATCACATGGTAACTCTCTGTTTGATCATTTGAAGACTGCTTTACAAAGCAGGTGTAGCATTTTACTTTCCCACCAGTAATGGATGAAGTTTCCAATTTTTCCATATCCTTCAATACCTGCTATTATCTGTCTTTTTAATGTGTTTCCTGAGTCTCTTTCAATCTGCAGATTCCACATCTACCTCTCTTTTATTTTCTTTCTAATTTGGTTGTGAGGATCCCATGTTTGGATTTTGCTGATGTCATCCCTGTAGTGACTTTTAACTGTTCTTGTCGCCTGTGTGCCCTGTAAACTTGTATTTATATTCTAGAGGCTGAATCAGATTCAGATTTTTGGGTTTTAGGTTTTGCTTTGTTTCGTTGTTTGGCAAGACTACTTCTGAGTGATGCTCTGTACTGCCAGCAGAAGACGTGTGATGTCTGATTGTGTTGTTTTTTGTGACAAATAAGTCATTGACATCACAGTCAGATTCCAATGTACATTTCTCTTGCCATCAGTGAGGTGAACAGCTTTTCATTTGTTTAAGAACCATTTATTTGTACTGCCTATTCTGAACATATTCTTACACCATTTTTTTCTATGTGTGGCTGGCATATTTCTCAGTCATTTGTAGAAACTCTTTATCCATTAACAATATTGGCTTTCTCCACTGGGTGACTTTCAATCACTTGCTCCCTCTCAGATCACCGCAGGAGGTGGGCTGTGCTTTTCATGTTGTTCTAGTCGTAGCTGCGCTTCTGTCTTATAGCTCTCCTCACTACCACTGCTCCTTGTTTGCAGGGCGCTTTCTTTAGGTCATTTCTTGCCACCTAGAGGATGAGATCCTTGAGGTCAAGAACTTTGTCTGTCCAATTCCCCCAGTTCTCCCACTGCCTCACGTGACCCAGCACGCAGTAGCAAGGATACTGTCACTCCATCTAGCGCATGTGACCATTTGTGTGAAGCTCCTGGCTGAATGATGGGGTCAAGCCCCCAGGAACCTCAGTGAGCCTGGTGGGGGAGGCTGGAGCCAGGCCCAGTGAAGGCAGAGGGGGTGTAGGGGGCAGTGTTACAGGCAGGAAGTTTCTTTCTTTTTTTTTTTTTAAAGATGACCAGTAAGGGGATCTTAACCCTTGACTTGG